GCTTGGTTTTTTTAATTATGAAAATGCTCCATTGGCTTTTTTTGTGTTCAGATTTGCTTTTAATATAATATTTTTTTTTTTATATTTGCTTCTTTCTTTCGCTTTTTGAATACCTTGCCGTAGGGCATTATGTAACTGACGAACTCCGATCTGCGAGAATAGCGCCCCATTTCACTAATTTTTATGTTGTTTACATGTTTCTTGCTTATTATTTTTTTTAACATAAAACAAATGCATATTGAAATCATCAGATCATAGGCAATCAGTAAGCAAATAATATTTTTGTCATATTTGTGTGGGCAAGGTATGACTTAAATCATCATTGGAAAAACGGTGTGATTTAAATCATGATATAAATCATCTCGATTTGTATTCTGCATGCTGGACTAGCAAGCGACTGACGGCGCGCGCAGGTGGCTCCCGTATGACGCGAGCCACCTGCGCCCCATGTCACTGGACACATTATATAGTCTTAGTATTGCAGCAAACTTAAGCGCTGTGCGTTTGCATTAGCGCAGCGTGCAACACGCTGTGAAATACTAAAACTCACTAATTTAAGGTCCTGACGCACCAACGGATAACGCAGCGGGCGTATGACGACATATGACCTCGAGCAGCAGCCGATAGATGGCGTAGTGGGCAGGACAAACCTAAAGTCCCTCGATGAAATTCACGCTTACAAATACCGCCAACCAGTGGTGTGGAAACGCGCAAGACAAGTGTCACGAGCGGGTGCTCCGCCGCCATTCACTTCCAAGGGCCGCTCGTTTCAGTGCTGCGCCGCCATTTTGCTTCCAGGAACCGCTCTTGCACTGGCGCGTTTGACGCTACTGACGGGCCTCTTGCACTGGCGCGTTTGACGCTACTGACAAGACAACAGAAAACACATGGAGGGGCATTAAATAACCCTCTCTTCGCGATAGCGCACTACGTGGGCATTTCTACATAGGATCCAAGGAACATGTCTCGACCCAACTGGTATGTTAAGCGTCTTAACCCTCCCATACACCATAAGTGGATCAGAAGTGGCAACAAACGTCGTCTCAAAAGCCGAAGTGCCACGTTGTCGGATGTCGCGAACCTGGTGGTTGGTCGTAGAAATGCTGGCGAAAAGCACGAGCGAAAGCGAGTGTCGCTGTCGTCGTGGCGTCCCATCTCCCGGCTGCCGAAGCTTCCGCGTACTGTCGAGCTGGAGATCGACCTGCGGCAAAACAGGCGTCCGCCACACCCAGGACAACCTGATGGAGGACGCCGCCAGGATTGCGACCGCCGACAGCGTGACGCTTGTATTAAGTCATCAGGCACAAATGAAGGGATTAATTTTTGGGACGCGAAAAACACCCGCCCCCAGCGTCAGATTTTTTATATAGTTCTTTTAACGATTCTATTTTGTTTAAATAGATTCTTTCTTATTGAGAGCACCTACAAGCTATTTATTTACATACACTTTTAAAGATTTAGACAACTTGAATCGACCCAATCTGAGCAAATAATAGGATTAGGCGGAAATCCTCAGCCGCAGCCCGATCCGATCGAGCCAATCAGCAGCGCCAAAAGTCACGGCATTCTTCATTTCTGTAGCGCGATCGTATAAAGGATTCGAAACCAGCTAAAGTTGTTCAAAACAAAACCACGAAGACCCGTACAAACACTTGCGACTTTTTAAGACCGAGTGCCACGAAACCTCTTCAAATTTCCTACGACGAGAGGAGACACTGGCGCCACATATCGAGTAGCAGTGGAAACTTGGCGGGCCCGTATGTTTTCTATTTTTTTCGCGCAATATTCCTTCTTTTTTGGTTCGAAGAACTTTTGTCGACATTTTAAACGACCGTTCCTCATATGTAGTTCGTTCATTTGACCTCGCAAATACCGCGAAACCTTTTCTCTACGGAAATGCACACCTAGGGTAACCGCATAAATGGCGCCAGCGTGCCAGTGTGTTCTCTCGCCGTAAGAGATTTTAAGAGGTTTTAAGGCACTTGGTTCTAAGGAGTCGCAAGTGTGTGAACGGGCCTTAGCAAATCACAAGGCACGCCTAATGTGAATCCCGGACAAAAACTCACCGGACAAAAGCTCACCGGACAGAAGCTCACCGGACAAAAGCTCACTGGACAAAAGCTCACCCATTTTTTCACAAACCCGGACAAAAGCTCACCAGGAGAAAATTTAATGTTGGTCTTAAGACGAGTGCGGACAACTTAGGTGCATGCCTGCGACACTAAAATATTGAAATACTTTTACGACACACAATGACGGAAAGAATTAATTTTCTTAGCCATTCACTTCAAATATTACCTTGAACCCCAAGAAAACCCATGCATTAGTAATGAAGAGACCTTGAGCCTAATTTTTATGTACGCGTTTAGCGTAACATAAGCGCAATGAAAAAGCGAGTTCACCGAAGGGTGACTTCGCTTCTTCAGCCACTTTTCGGGTTCAAAAACTTCGGTTCACGACGTTTTTTGGGCGATGCACAAGGGTGCTCCGCTATACCTTGAGTCATGCAAGCTTGATCTTATTAGCTCCACTCAGTTTCAGTGACCTAAATTTTGGTCCCAAAACGTTGCTTCTCTGCCTGTCATGGCTTATCTGTCGACACTTTTACATGGGATTGGGTACCAGTTCTCCTAAAAATGGTACAATGTCCATCGCGTCCGCACGTTATCCAAGCCCGTGCTTCGCCCGGGCAGCAAAAAAAAAAAAAAAAAAGAGGTGAGCTTTTGTCTGGGTTAGCGAAAAAACGGGTGAGCTTTTGTCCGGTGAGCTTTTGTCCGGTGAGCTTCTGTACGGTGAGCTTTTGTCCGGTGAGCTTTTGTCCGGTTACCGCCTAATGTATACGCACGACATGAGTATTTTGTGCCCGCATGTCTTATCAGAAGGACTGAGACAGGTTTTAAGGTTTCTATTACTTTTTTTAGTTGCGTCTGCTCTGAAGCGTCTGACAATCTCTGCACGAAAAAAAAATTCTTATGTCGAAAGAAGAAAAATCATAAAATGTTTGAAGAATGTATTTGAACTAATAGGTAGAAGATTGTAACGAGTGTGATTAAAATAGAATTCCTGAAACTATATTGTTCAGATGTGTATTCAAAAATGTATGTACCGTAGAAAGTAATTACAGAGCAGTATCTGAATGGGCACTAGTTTGGAGCAAACTAACAGGGCGCATGCGGTTTGTAGACATCGAGGCAAAGCAAGAGCGTGTGAGGAGTGATTTCGATTTGTGCGGGCGGAAAGGCGCGAACAGTAACACTGTCCTGGAGAAGTCCCAGACAAGTCCGTATGCATTCATAAACGAATGATAGTATAAAGTGTCAACGGCCTTCGTCTCGCCTGTCGGAAGCACCTCGTCATATTCAAAAAAAAAAAAAAAATATATATATATATATATATATATATATATATATATTTATTCATCTGCACATATTCGTTCATATCCTTCTCGGAGACCACGTACGATGGTGTGAAGTGCCCGTGTTGTATACTCAATAACGTGGCTCTTGATTCTCGCAGATGATGATGATACCGTGTCTCTAAAAAGCTCATAAACAAAGAATACTACATGTACACGGGGCGAGACAAACAGTGGGAGGATTTCTGGAGCACAAACGAACACGTACCACGTGACACTAAGCGTCGTACCGCGTTCCACGCGGCGGCGTGTGTTTCCAGAACACCTCCGATTGGATACATTTCGTTTCTTGTGCATTAATAAGACAGGTAGGAAACGCCAGAAATCTAATGTGGAGTGGTGTAGTGGTTAGCACACCCGACCGGACATTGGGAGGCCCAGAGTTCAAATCCTGGCTCCGCCAATTTTTGGCTTTCGGCGGGTTCCTGGAAACCTTGATTCTTTAATTCATTGGATTAAGTACGGTTCATTCATCTGCACATATTCGTTCATATATATATATATATAGATATATATTATTTTTCTTCTGGAAAAAGGGGGCGGGGGGTCGGGTATAGGGGGATATCTTATGTAGGCCATCTTAGCACGCGTGCTCCAAGACGTACTAATGGCTTCCCCGTTCCGCTAAAGTTAACTTTTGAGTTGAATGGTTTGTTGCTGTTAGTTCGCTTCTTGACAATTGTATTTCGTTTAACTTGTTTCTTTCTCATAGAGAGCACCAATAGGTTACACATATGCCCCCGGACTCGGACAACTTCTATCGACCCAATCTCAGCAAATAATATGATTACGCGAAAATACCAAAGGCCAAAATAGCGCCAATTATATACTCAGTGTTTGACCCGATGTCTTTTAGTGTTGAAGGTTAGCTAGCTCAATAGCATTATTTTTTCTTGATTTAAAGAAAAGAGTATGAAATGTACGTTATCTTCGCGACAGGAAGGCAACGGGTTATGTTTTGAAGCCGTAAACACTGTCAAAAAGTTCAAGCACGAGACTGAAATCTTCACAAGCCAGTTAACACAGCTCTACAACATGTTCCTACTGGTCACAAAGTGTTGCTAGTTACGACCACTAGACGTAATGCATCAGTAGCGGTCGTCTCACAAAACGCGCGTAAGACTAACCCTCCCTCCAAAGGTAAAAACAAGCCAACAAATTGCAGGCCTTTATGAGATTTCATGATCAACAATTAGTGACGATCGAAATAGATTTGTTAAGAGGCACTACAGCTGAGGCGTGATCGCGTCGCCGGCAAGATTTTGTATGTTTGAAGTAGTTCCTTTCGCGTTTGCCTAGTGTGTTATGGCTAAAGAAACGAAAGGTGTGACTCATTACATGCACGCTTTTCGCTTCGTGATGTCTTCATTGGCATTCTTATCGTCTAACGACGCAATCTTCTTTGCCGCGACGTGATAATGCAAATCACTTACCACGTCCTGCGTCCCTGACGCTTTGAGTAATTCTATGGATAACTTCTTTGACTACCTTAGCAAAAAATAACTAGAAAATCATCAAGGCTATGACGGTTTTAACTCTCCTTTCACAGCCAGAATTGTTTGGAAGTCAAAACTCTAATGATTACCTGAGGTATGCTGCAGACAAGGCTTGTGTACCAGGCCACAGCCAGCATCACTTTGCCCCTCCGCTGAGCGTCGTGGACCTTGAGAGGATGAAGCACCGCGAAATATCTGTCCACACTGATGCACACGAGTACCATTGAGGAGAGGTAAGGTCCAAAGGCCCTGAACACTTGCATTAGCTTGCACATAAAGTTGCCTGCAGTCCATTGAACAGTGAGTCTCCAAGAGACTTCCAGTGGAATCATGACGAAGGTGACAATTAGATCTGCAATGGCGAGATGCATGATCATCAGCTTGATTCTCGACTTGCGGTGGCGGTTGCGCAACAAGGTGACAAACACGGGAACGTTGCCTCCGGCCGCGATGATGAAGAGGATGCAGTAGATGACGACCTGGACAGCAGACTGTGTGTTGAAGGACAGTTCTTCGGCGAGGGCAACCTTTTGCGATGTTATGTTTGAAGTCGACGTCTCCTCGATTATGGAACCGAAAGTCATTCCATATCTTGCGGTGGACATTTCGACAAGTCTAGATAAGACGTGTTTCTGGATTCTCACGAGGTACGTCAGGGGCTTCTAGATCATTTGACTAGATACCTTTGAGGACATTACATACTAAGCGTGTTCATTTGTTGAAAATGTATATATTCAGCTCACAAGGCCTGAAACGCGCGTATTTGTGAGAAGCCCCTATCAAAAATGTTTTAGCTTATCTATTGTTTGGAACTAGCTTGGGAGCAATTCTAAATGAGATCATGGAAATCTCAATATAAACGGAAAGGGTTCAGAGATGAATATGCATCAATGTCTCGGAGTATGTCTGCCATTACAAGGTCAGAACTTAAGAGCTGTCGAAATGGACTATTGACCTAATAGCATTAATAAACACTACTATTCCTCGACTTTCTGGGCTGACTTTTGCGAGAACTTCAGTCTTTCTAATTATCAGCAGATTCCGTCACTCTTCGATGTGAATCGATGTCATTCGACGACGCGCAACTTAGCAAAAGAATTTCTCTTCTCGCACTTGAAAGTCACCAATAATTCCACAACCTTCAGGTGCTCACGCACGACCACAACACCACTCCTCCGGATATGCGACAGAAAGGCAATCCCACAAACACCACCGCGAAGCTTCTCCACTTCAAGTCGGACCGGCAACGCGAGCTCAGGAGCCGAAGAGGAGCTCGCGTATCCGACGAAGGAAGCGGGCCGGTGAACAACTTTCTCGGGGAGAAGTTTCGTCCATCCTACCTCCGGGTTCAGAGCCCGGCACGCGACTGAGGCTCCTGCGAGAAGCTGACCCGAAGTCGGGCCGAGTGTTTGCTCATCGATCCACGCCTGCGCTTCGCGGCGAGCCCCCGTCTTGCGTTTCCCTGTCCGTAACGATATACTTCGTTTCGCCTTACCTCTCGTTCACACGTCTGCGTTCTCTTGCGTTGAGTACGCTGCGTTCTCTCGTAACCGTTTAACACAACTGGCGCAGTGGCGCCTTATATCGGACACAAAGATTTATGCTTTTATGTGTGTTTGTGTGCTTGATTGTTTGTGTTTACGCGTGTTCGCGAAGAAATTTCTGTGTGCGCTTGTTTGCTTCTTCGGGCGTGTTTATATGTGTGTACGTTAATGTGTGTTCAGAAACACACAGATGCGTGTGATTGTGTGGTTTTGGTCTTTTAATTAATGCTTATGTGCGTTTGTTTCTTTCTCCGTGCGTGTTTAAGTGTTTTTCTTGTGCGTGGGTTTTATTTTTTTATATTTTGCCTGTCGCTCTGTTTTAGGTGTGTGTGCACATCCAAAACTAAAACAGAGTATCATAAGTGATGGAAAGGCAGAATGGCGAAATTGCCGCCAGTGACGCTGCGTTGCCGCGAATATGCCGATAGCGAGAGCGGTTGGGCCGCGCTTTAAATTTTAAGGGTTCTTCGGCAGACAGTTGCCGTTTGCGGAAAATGTTTTTTTTTTACTACATCCGTACAGTCATCTATCATCTATGGCAGTTCAGCGTCGACATGAGTGTAGGTAAAATAGTAATACAAAGATACCGCCGCTTTTGACGACCAAGCAAAAAGAGACCCCGTTCACACAGTCTCGCATGGCTGACGAAACCGCGAGGCAGAGAAGCGGTGTTTCGAAATCGCGCTTTGGGAACCGGACGTTTCGCTACTATAGACGTTTTTCGTTTACTTTCGTTTCCAGTCACGTGGGTTCCGTACCTGGTATGCGCGATGAAAAAGTAATAAAGCTTTTTAACCTGGAATATCCGAGAAAATATAGGCGAGGCAAAAAGGGATGTGAGACAAATTGGTGACGGCATAACAATGTCTTCGCCCGTACAAGAAGTAAAGATATTCGAGATGGCGGCGCCCTCGTGGAAAAGTTCTATACACTAACGCATTGATTGCAAAAGGCCGTGTTTCAAACTTTACTCGATCTTACTCCAGGGTGAGGGTTTTGTACCTCGGCGTTCAAAAACCTACCCGCGACCAGCGTCGTTCTATCTGTGGTGGCACGTGACACAACCCACCGGAATCAGAGCCGTATATAGAGAGAGTGCGGCCATATATTGGGAAGCATGGAAGGCAAATGAGGAGGCGCCATTGTCCGAAAGCAGGCTGGGATTGCTTCAGGGCATCTTCGCAAATTCGAATGTGGCCAGCCAGGAGCCGCGAGTAATATCCTTGTACACGTGATGTTTCGATCACGGTCATGCAAAATCATGCTGGACGGCATATAAAGATATAGAAGATACAAAACGCGCGAGCTACTAGCAGGGCGGTCGGCGTAATCTGTGCGCCCGGCGCCGAAGGCAGGAAATCTGCCGTCCGAGTGGTCAGACTCCGTCCGAAAAAAAACAGAGTTCGAGCGGCACATTCGTTTCTTACATCTCTTTGCGTGATCATAATCAACACATCACTGACTCTTACGCACTTAATAAAACTGTTTATCGCTACCACCACTAAGGAACTACCTTCGGCCTCTGGTTGGCCAAGAGAGCATACCAAGTCCTCGATCCGCGTCCGTGGTGCACGCCCTGGCTCTGCCGGCAGCTCCCAAATACCAAACTTTCACTATATGCTGCCTCGCCGGAGTAACTCAGATCTATTAGGGTAAGATTTGGAACACAGCCAAACAAACCCGCGTTTGACCACACAAGGCGGGAGGGGGGGGGGGGGGGGGGGGTGGGGGGGGGGGGGGGGGGGGGGGGGGCCTTTGCGCGTGCACAGAGCTGCCACACACAATATTTTTTGTTTTGTAGGAGCTACGCGCTTACACAAAAAAAAAAAAAAGCACTTTTTTTTTTTTCTTTTGTAGGACGATAAAGCAGTTCTTAACCCGTCCAAAACGCTACGTCCAAGTCCCGGATGGTGTTCCACACTGACCTTGTCTCTATAATCATTTCTACCTCGAGAACCGTAATAAAAAAAGTCCGACTTCTCGCGGAACTCGACTAAACCCCACCTTTATATAGAGAATTAAGAGATATCTATGTGCCTATTAGATCAGGTGTGTGTTATCTTATCAAGACCTACACGTTTCAAACGTCAAAAGCATCGCGCTTTCCTCCGATTATCAAATCATGTAAGAACTACTTCGCGTGGCGTATGCACATGCACAAACATTACTTTTTCCTTGAGGTGAAAATCGATTATGGGCCATCCAATTATTTTCCCGATTTGTCTCCCAAGCAAGCCTTTTACGTGTAGTAAGATAAAACATACAACAATAGTTCATCTCCTTAAATTTAGAGTAAGAAAGCAGCATGCAGGTCAGAGTCTGCGTGTCTTTATTTGGCGATTGCAAAAAGGGCTTAGCGGGAACTTCAAGGGGCAAAGCATAAATAGATCTCGCCGAGCAAGCTTAGCGGCAAACTCCTAATGAGGTATTTGGAAGTGTGGGTGAAAAAATTTAAGTTTAAAGGCGACGTTGGCGTTTGATATTCCAAAGCTGAACCTAAAAAAAAAAAAAAAAAAAATTAACTTCTTAAAAAAAAAAACGCGGGACGAGATGCTTGGTATTGTGGAGACACGTGCCATAAATGAAAGAAACGACCATGCACCGAAAGGTCCGTGTACCTTATCGTCGTCCTTGGAACGTGTCTCTTCGGGTTTGCTTTTTTTTTTTTATACTTTGCGCCTACGCTTTTTACAGACCGGGTGTTTGTGCAAATAGTTTCAAAAATCCCTAAAGATAGGGTAGTTGAGGTAAAAAAAGGAACTCTTTCCGGGTACAAACTACACGCCAAAGCGGATTTCAGGGATTACAAACAAAAAAGCACACTAATTAAACAAATAATTCACTAAGGTTGACAAATCAACTTTCCAATTAGGTAAAGATAATCATGTGGTTCTAAGGACGCATACAAAACTGCTTAGAAGTATGGAAAACCATTGAATAAACTGATTTGAGACCGATACAAGGCAGGCACAGCATTGAACGGCGTTTCAAAAAAGACGTTCTTATTGGGTTCCGGTTTAATATCGGAGTGCACCTTTGCGCCAAAGGTACTGGGCTGACGAGCGAAGCCACCGGTCCTGCCTCCCGGTGGCTGGGGCGTTGCCCGCCTCAGCCACCGGGAGGCAGGACCGCTGGCGCAAAGATTGGTGAACCAGCGTAGCGAGGCTAAAGGCAGCTCTCTCGGAGACGTTCAGCCGGCCGGCAACCGGCCGGCAGACGTGGAAGATCCGATGGATGTGCGTCCCCCCATGGATGTCCGTGCGGTGGAATGGGACGAGCGAGAGAAGGAGCTTGATCAAATGAGCATTAGTGGGCAAGGTTGGACACACGTACGAATCTCTTTTTTTTTTCATATGTTTTTATGCAATCTTTGGCTTATCTAATTAAATACTTTTGTTTCAAAAAGAATGCGCTGCAAATATGAATACATACAGACAGATGCGCTCCGATCTGCAACTGAAAACTAGGGACGCGAACAAATTGATCGTCTTTTCGGAACGCCTCCAAATGCTGCACCTACCTTATATATTTCTAAAACAAGTTAATTATACTTCGTTTCAGCTTCGGTCCGAGCGCGGCCGATGTTATGAGCGGAAGGGCCAATCAAAAAGCGCAAAGCCCTCATGGCGTGCTCTCTGCAGCTTGAGTAGCCGGCGGAAGGAGCAGTGCACAGCGAGA